TGGAGCCAAAGCGGGGCCCTGTGCGAACCCGGGAGCCTGAAGGTGGTCCGCGACCTTGCTCCAGAGCCAGCTGTCGGCCACGGCCGCCAGGGTTTTCTGAACCGTGCGTGGACAAAGCGCTTCAACCGAGAAATCGCCCACGCTGGGATGGTGCCAATCGAGACCATTCATCGTGATACCGGGACGCTTAGCAGTTGCGACCGCTGCCGCGAACGGTCCGAGAACTGCTTTCCCAGGCGAGCCGTGCGCACATGACTGACTCCACGCTCCAGCCAGACCTTGCACCACCACCACCCGAGGAACCCGCCCGCCCCAGAGAGAGGAGGCGATCGAGAGGAGGGGGGAGACATTGAGGTTGCATGCTGGATCAATGCGCGGTGTGCCTGACAACTGCAGCATTAGGTTGATTGATCTACCCGCAAGCTTCTGCGACTGAACACTGGCCTGCTGAAACCTAGCAAGGGCGAGCTCAAATCCGTTACAGCCCATCACCCCCGACCCGTACGAGGTGGAGGCCTGCGCGGCTGCTCGAACCATATGATGCACGCGCCTTCTCGCAAGCTTGCCAGACAGGGCTAAGATTTTGTTGCGTCGCACTCGCGGCGCGTTCATGCGCTCAAGTTTGGTGTGGCGCTTCATCGCCCCGCCAGCTGCATAGTCGATGCCAAGATTGCGCTCGCTCTGCACACCGCTCACACGCTTGGCCTGAAGCGCTGTGGCAAGCTGAGCTCTCAACATAGGACAGGAGGCTAGCACACGAGACTTTGGCTTGCTGATGGGAAGATGCACAGCGTCTAACTGATCATGCAACATGCGCGCGGCTTGAACTAGAGCGTCGCGCACCTGCTCGGAGGAACCAACCTTGTGCAAACCCGAGTCGTCCACAACCACCTCGATCTGCACCTCTCGAGCAGCGCGAAGAGGAAAAGCGGCCTGCACCGCATCAAGCGGGGCCAATAGCACAAGCTGAAGCATCAAAGTGGTGAAATGACACCCTGGCGGCACTGCTTTCTGTGTGCTGATTGGGGCCGAGGTGGCCCCCGCATGGTCCAGGACCCGCGAAGCCCGATGCAGGCCCACCAGCAGTCGCAGCTGACGACGGGGGAATCCCGCGGCATGAGCCGCTTTCAGCAGCTCTCCGTGACGAACGTTTTCAAACGCCTTGTGAAGGTCCAGGAGGGCCGTTCCAACAAAAAGCTCACGCCCTTGGGCCCATTCGGCGAAGGCAGCTTGGACCCAGGCGAGCCGATCCGACCCCCTCCCACGAGTCGACCACCAAAACTCGCGAAAGTTTCGCTCCTGCCAACGCCTGATGAGCGGGCGGCGAAGCCGCCCCTGCACTCGAGAGGTGATATGCATGAGCGCAATGGGGCGCAGGCCTCCCGCGCGCTTCAACATGAAGACTACATTCGACCACAACTGTGGCCACTCGAAGCAGCGCTCAATGGCGAGCATGAGCTGCCTGAAGCACTTGGGAACTTCATCTGGCAGCTCCAGCAACTGTCGCGGCGAGATTTGATCGTAGCCAGCTCCGCTGGCAGCCTTGAAACTACGAAGGCGCGACTTCAGACCCTCCAGGTCGAAGCCTGGCAGTCCGGGCCCCACGTCTGCAGGCCAGAAGAGCGGGTCGCTCAATGACTTCGCTTCCCAGTACCCCCCCCCCCCCCCCCCCCCCCCCGCGCACGCACGCGCGCGCGCACATACGCAACGCACGCACGCACGCACGCACGCACGCACGCACGCACGCACGCACGCACGCACGCACACACACACACACACACACACACACACACACACACACACACACACACACACACACACACACACACACACACACACACACACACACAAACACACACACACACACACACCAACACACACACACACACACACTCGGGCACAAGCAACGCCATCTCCTCCTCCTGACTGGCTGGCACTGGCGGCAGAGAGCCGTCATGCCTAAAATTGGGGCTGCTGTGGCACGACGTGGGTGGCTTCGACAGTTGAAACAAGGCTCCCCCCCCCGCGTTGGAGTGAGACTTGGCCCAGGTCTTCCAGCTGGCATCTCTATGATTCGCAGTCGCCCGCTGGCGCTTGCCTGACAGCTGCCTGGCGACGTGGCCGAGAGAGGACGAGAGCTCCCACGAGAACGAGGACGCAACCCACAAAAGCACGACCCACGGCTTGACGCTGGCATCGGTGAACCTATCACCCTGCGCGGCGAGCTTGTCGGCCAGCGAGAGCGCGGCACGACGGTACGAAGCAGACTGAAATGTGCCAAGCTCGCTAAAAACTTGCGCTACGAGCCGCCACCACGCGGCAAAGGGCGATAGCCTCGGGTACGGCATGGCAGAAGGCTTGCGTGCAGCAGCTCGCTGGCGCCTCAGTGGCCTGGCCCTGCCAAAGTAGAGGTGCGACACGCTGGGGTCTAGCTGGTGGATGTCCACGAACTCGCGCTCCATGACGTCTACGAAGCTTTCCCACAACTCCTGTGCACCAACCTCGGCGCGAACCTTTCTTTCGACGGGGTGCCAGATCGCACTTTCTAGCCTGGGTCCCTGAGGCCACTGCCGAGGAAACGTGCGTGGGGCACGAATCTGAGGTATCGTAGGGGCTTGCCGCAGCCCCTGGATGCACAGCTTGACAGGATAGCGTGGAGTGGTGCCGATGTCGGTGAGCACACCCTGCTGCTGACGATACTGAAGGCCTTCGGACACGATGAAGTAGTCCAGCACATTGCCTGAGCCACCTGTGCACGTGGCGGCGCTGGGCGAAATAATATGACCTGAAATGGCTTCCACCCAGCCTGAACCCATCAACTCAGCAGGACTGAAGTTCCAACCTCCTGCGAGAATGTATGGCATGCCAAACTGCCTGGCAACTGCTCCAAGCCTGCACAAGAGATACCAGTTCGATGGAGAGAGTCTCTGCGAGTCGTGCATGAATACAACTGCCCACAGTATGCCGCCAGGTACCACACCTGACATGTGACGTACTGCAACTCTTGCTTCTTCAAGAACTGGAGGCTGGTCGACTAGCAAAGACAACACGTGCCGCTGTTGAACCATATGAAAGAGACCACCCAGTGTGCCTCCTTGTCCAGTCGACTTGGCCGCCGTAGCCGAAGCCCTCCAGCCCATATGACGGAGCCGCTGCTCCCAAGCTGAGCATTGCGAAAAATGATGTTCCGGTATGCCGACCGCATCTGCCTCTACGACGGCCTGCGAATTTGGAATTGTCTCGAGCCTTGTGCGGCTTGAGACGTTGGAGGTGGTGAATGTCCACGTGTTAGGAAGAGGGCGATGTAACTCTGGCTTTCTTGGCAGCGTGCTCCTGCATGGCTGCCGAGAGACTGGTGTAGAGAGAGCGGCTGATCTTAGGCTACCTGCCATCGGAGCCTGCGGCGTCTGGATCCTGTTCCATATCAGCGGCGTCACTGACCGGGATGTTCTGGGCTTTGAGGAAGTCATCGAAGAACTCGGGCTTGCCGTGCTGCTCCCAGAACGCTGCATCTGGAACGCCAGGCACGCCGCTGGCACCAGGGGGCACTTGAGCCTGTGGCTGCTGTTGGGCCTGCTGCTGGTGCTGACGCTCAGCCTCCGCTGCTGCCTCTGCAGCTGCTTTGGCCTGCTGCTCCTCGAGCTGCACCCTGACCTGCTCGGCGATGGGCTTGAGCGCCTCTGCTGCGTTGGGCGCGACGGAGGCGAGGGTCTGGGCGAGGCTCTCGAGCTGCGCGAGAGGGTCAGAGGATTGCGGCGGGCCACCTCCGATGGCAGCGTGGGCGGCTGCCGCCTTGCTTGCCGCCGCATCGGCCTTGGCCTCGCACTCGGCCAGGTCGGTGGCAAACTGCTGCATAGACTCCACGGCTTCGGCCGCCGCAGCCGCAGCCTTGTCACATTTGGATTGCAAATGTTCGAGCTTCCGCTGGATAGCATCAGACGCCCGACGAGCAGCACGAGCAGTAGGAAGAGCATCGCCGTTCTGAAGGCTCCGAGCCGCCGCATCTCGAGCCGCAGTCTTGGGCGACAGACCTTGAGCAACAAATGCGTAGTCAGCGCCAGGCATCTTAGCATACACTGCAACGAGCTCATCAGACAGGGTGAGAGCAGAAGGACCAGCACGGGAAGGCCCATCGTTCCACTTGCCTGACGGCCCACGTTGCGGCGAACCTTTGGGCACGCTAGGAGGCTCGGCCCCACAGATACGACACGTGGTTCGCCGGTGGAAATTGCCTTTGTACCCGCAACGCTTGTTGGTGCACGTACAACAATTCCGAGATGCTTTGCCATCCATATCGTCTCACAATGTACGAGCAAGGCGAAAGCTAGAGTACCGAAGCGATGTGCCTGGGACCTGCCAGGGAAAGCGGCGGGGCCGCGAATCCCCTTGCCAAAAGGTCAAGCCTCTGAGCCACACGCCTCCGGACATGAGCCGAAATGGCTACGGACTCCTCCTCCTCCTCCTCCTCCTCCTCCTCCTCCTCCTCCCCCCCCTTCTCCCTCTCCTCCCCCTCCTCCTCCTCCTCCTCCTCCTCCTCCCCCCCCCTTCTCCTCCTCCCCCTCCTCCTCCTCCTCCTCCCCCCTCCCCCTCCTCCCCCCCCTCCTCCTCCTCCTCCTCCTCATCCTCCTCCTCCTCCTCTTCGTCGTCGTCGTCGTCCTCCTCCTCCTCCTCCTCCTCCTCCCCCTCCTCCTCCTCCTCCTCCTCCTCCTCCCCCCTCGAGCCATCTGGGCCCGAGGCCCCATTTTGGAGGTCCCAGAGGGCCTGGGCGCCGAGGCTTCCACGGAGCGCTTGGGGGGCGCCGCAGCGACAACTGTCCTTCTAGAGTTGTTATTTGCGGCGGCGAAAGCCGAGGATGTCGCGCTTATTATCGAAATGCGGAGGATGCGGCACGTTCGAGTACAATGACGTATTATCTCGAGCTGATCGCAAATGCAGAGCACGTTGCAAACAAGTTCGCCTCTTTGCCCCCAGGAGAGCCCGTTCCAGATCTGCGTCTCCAGGGGGCCCGCCATGGCTGGTGCGTTTCGAGAGCATCGCCGATGATGATCTAGCCAAGAGCGCCGCCAGCCCGAAGTCGATCCTGAAGGGCTCCCAGACCACCCAGCCCACCACTGAGGGCCAGGATCTAGTGGCTTCGTTGAAGGCCGCTATCGCGCAGACGTCTGATGTGCAGATGAAGGCTGTCTTGACGGCGGAGCTGGCCAAGGTTGAGGCGGCGCAGCCCCCGCAGCAGGTCGCGTCGCCAGCTGGCGAGGTTCGGCGGGCGGACGCTGCACGGCGGGACGCGGGGTGAAGCATGATCCGGCGGCCAAGGCAGTCCAGCGACTGCGTGATCAGCTTGCGCAGGCGGAGGCCAAGGGGCAGCTAGCGGCCAGGACGCTGGCGCAGGCTACCATCGCCAAGTCACAGGCCGCGCAGGCTCTCGCCAAGGCGGAGGACGCGTTCATCGCCCACCCTGTTCCACCTGTCCTGGGACCAGCAGCTGTTCTCCAACATTGACCAGCTCAAGTGCGAGCAAGGCGAGAAGGAAGCCTTGGCGCAACTAGAGAAGGACCTAGTCAGCACCAAGGACACATTGAAGTCCAAGGAGGAGGAAGTGCAAGCCTGGCTTAGGCGAGCGACAGAGCTCAAGGCGTCCACCAAGGAGCGCCTCGCCAAGAAGAGGAGGAACAACGATGATCAAGCTGTCCCAGGTGGAGATGGTCATGCTCCAACTGCTGCAGGTCAGGCTGCAGCGCCGACGGCAACCGCCACCACGGCGGGCGAGAGGCCATCGGCGGAGCAGAAGGCATCTCAGGCAGCAGCCGACGAGCAGCGGGCGAGCAAGGTCGAGGCCGAGGCCGAGCGCTTGTCCCGCGCCAAGTTTGCGGCGCTGAACGCCAACCAGCTGATGCGCGAGGGCAAGGGCAAGAACGGGTCCACTGCGGGGGCGACGATCGGCAAGGGCGTGGGCAATCAGCCCCAGCCTCAGGTGTGACAAGTACGCCGGCCCCGTTCGTCGGCCATTGCTTCGGCAGGCACGACGGCGGACACAGCGGCTACATCTAGCAGGCCTTCCTCCCCCCCACCATCTACGGGCTCGAGTTCGAGCCAGGCTCCGCGGGGCGCGCCCGTTAAGTCATCATTTGATCAGACATGTGCGAGCGATCACATCGCTCCCAGTTTCACCAACCTCGTCTTCGGGAATATCACGTGCATGGGCGCCGAGGTCTGGCAGTACGTTACCGAGCAGAGGCAGTCCACCCCGCGCGTTGCTGTCGTCGAGACCCACGTCGGCAGGGGTGCAGTTCGACAATGGGATGACAAGGCGAGGGAACTTGGGATGTAGCTCTTCTGCAACCCAGCCAGGCCGATGGACAAACATTTTAGAGGGCTGTCTATGGGGCATGGCAACGAAGGGGGCGAGTGGATCCTCACTCACGGGCATCTTCGAGCTCATTCCCTTGAGGCAGCCTCTACTCCAATGCTACGGCATGAGTCAACCAGGTCCAGCGACGGTTTCTGTGCGATTACCATTCACATGAAAGGGTACTCGTTTGTCCTCATCACGTTCTACGGGTACTCAGGCATTGGATTTTTCGGGGCCCAATGTTATTCGCTACCGCCGCTTGGGGGCACATCTCCGAGCGCTGCAACTCCCTTGGATAGTGGTGGCCAACTTCAATATCAGCGCGGCGGCGGTCAGCATGGCAGGCTTTACTGAGCGGGTCGGAGGGCGCATTCTCACGGCCAACGTTGACTACACATGCAATGCAGGGAAGGTTGGGTCTCGCATCGATTTCGTGACGCGCGGTACTTCAGCATTGAGCTACATGGCGTCTGTGGAGCCAGAGATGGCAGCACCGTGGAAGACCCGCATCGGCTTGCGCGTGCGACTTCGTGACCAGGGGCGGCAGCTGCTCACGCGGTCACTCTCCCTAGCGGCACGCCTACCGCAGGCGCCGCGGCCAGGGAAGGAGCCGACCCCGGAGTCCGAGTCCAGTCGAGCTCGCGCCGCTCGGCTGCCGGCTGCTCAGGACATCCCGGTCAAACGGGGCGAGGTGTGCGCGAGGCTCCATGGGGATGTCCTGGAGGCCATCGACCTTCAGAAGACCAGGGGAACCCAGCAGGAGCCCGAGGGTCATCTTTCTGAGCGTCCTGAGCCCCAGCCTGTGGTGCAAGTTGCCTCAGACACGTTTCACGATGATATGTCAATCTGTTCCGAGGAGGGCCCTTGGGCAGACCAGTTAAATTTTTGAGTGGAAGGGGGGCCAGACCAAGAGGGTTCCCTTCCCAAAGATGTGACCAATTCTAACTGCAGCAGTCTTTTGTCTTCTGGGGTCAGTGCCGTTGGGCCCCCCTCGGAGGAAGGCGGCGGGTCTGGCGCGGCTTGCGGGCCTTCGCGGAAGCTTGGCGAAGCTCTTGGTGGGGCGGCTGTCGCGGGCCCCCCCTGCGACGACCCCGCTCTCTGCGGCCGCGGCGCTGGTCTTCCTGAGGCGTCGACCCAGCCCCCCGCGCCCCGAGGGTGCCCTAGCGCCAGTTATATGATCCCCCCAGATTTGTGGGATAGGCAGAGACAGGCTGTAGGTCTCTCCCTTTCTCCCTCCCAACCCCTTCCTGTCTACGTCAGGGGCTCCAGAGCCTTCAAAGTTAACCCTGAACGTGCGTTGCTGGTCATTGGGATGTACACGTCTTGGGCGTCTGCAGTTGAAGATTCTATTCGAGCTCACCACGGGTCTGAGGAAGCCTCTCGAGGGCCCCAGCGTGCTACGAGTCCAGTATTTACAGTGCTGGGGGGCCAGAGTCTCGGAGCAGCACCGAGCAGTTACTTCGCGCGACCAAGTAGCCAGCTGGTGGGCAAGGGTCCAATCGCTTCTCACTTCACTGCACAAGCATCGTGCTCGAGGCAATGGACTCGCGCAGCAGCAGAGATTGGAAAGATAATGCCGACGCCTTATTGAAGACAGGCCCGGTCAGGTTCACGTGTCAGTCTCGAACTGCCTGGTCCCTCCCTGGTCTGAATGGCTCGCTTTCTTATCGTCAATTGGAAGCTGCTCGATCGTCCAGCTCGACACCTCCGCTCGGTTCTCGGATAAGGTCGCCAGGTCTAGTCAACGTAAAGCCCTACACCAGTCGCTTCGGGAGTTCCAGGACTGGGCCGTCACGGGGTCCTCTTTGGGCGCGCTCCACAGGGCTATGAGACAAGATCCCGTACCCAGTTTGGAAATATGCGACGGTTTGGCCATTCTCTACCATCCGAAGGATATAATATATTTCAAGACAGACAAGTGGCATCGCAAGTGGGCTCCGCCCATCTCCGTCCCCGACGAGGCGCTTGGGAATGTTCTTGAGACTATTCGGCAGGCTATCAGAGATGATCCTGGTCCTCTTCCTGAGTTAGGAGTGGAGGATGCGAGGCGGGCCCTGAGATCCATGAAGCCTCGCGCGGGGATGGGGGTGGACCGTCTCACGCCATGCGATATTGAAAGGCTGCCTGATGCTGGGGTAGCCGAATTATGCACGCTGTTGGCCGCGATAGAGCATTTGCTGGTCTGGCCCGTGCAGGCCATGCTCGTCCCCGGCCGCCTCCTCCCAAAAAAGCTAAATGGGGACCGCGTGAGGGGCGTCATCTCGATGCTATCCAGGGTGTGGAGTATGTCACGAGAACCTCGGGTCAAGTCTTCGTCGAAGTCCACTGAGGCCCATTGGGATGCAGCTGGTATCGGCAATTCGTCGCTTCGTGAAGCTTTTCGTCGGGTTCTTGACGAAGACGCTGCGGGAGTCTTGGGGGTCACATACGCACGCGCTCTCACAGATTTCGGCGGGCACTACGATAACATGATATGGCTCAAGTTAGCTCGAGCTGCGCTTCGGCTCGGGTTTCCACCCACGCTTCTTTATTTCGAACTACTACAATGTTCACATCCACGCTCCTTGCAGCAGATTGGAGCTTTTTCGAGGGCGTTCGGGTCAACATGCAGTATCATACAAGGATTACGCTCTGGGACACGATTCGCACGAATGATGACGTATTTTATCATGGAAAGGATATGTATTATGAATGCGCGGTGCAGTCACCGCCTCTGGATCGACGACCTGTCACAGGCCACCAAGGGGTCGGCGGCGCAGGTCAAGCGCGACATGATCGAATGCCTAGTCACCACAGCTCGCCTGCTCAAGGTGCAAGGCCTCAGTGTTGCGTCCAAGTCCGTCGTCATTTGCACGAAGCTCGGGTGGACCAAGGATATTGTCATGGCGCTCAAGCTCAGAGGAGTCACGATGACGGCGGCGAAACATACCAGCTACCTTGGAGTCGACCTAGGAGCTGGAGTTCGCCACGCCCTGGAGCAGCGCGTCAAGCGCAGCACCGAGCACCTCATTAGACATCGCAAGGTGGTCAAGTACGCCAAGACCCTCAGGAGGACCAAGATCACTTCTCGACTGGAAAGGCAGGGGGGCCAAGCTGCAGGATCTTGTGTACGAGGTCTACGGCGTGGCGGGCCAGGAGCTGGTACGATATCGACGACGTCACGGTGCAGCCTGCGGAGCACGGGTCCGAGGTCGCTGCCTCGCGACGTTGCTTGAGTTGGAGGCCAATTCGCTCGACCCTGCGCAGCGGTTCATCATTGGCACGTTTCGGCAGTGGCTCACCAACTGGCGTCGGCATCCAGAGGCGCGACCAGGTATCACCCGGGCGTGGGATAAGGGTCGCCTGAAGCTGGAGGCCTCCACCCACTCCCAGAGGTCTAGACACATAAGGGGCCCCATGTCGGCGGTGATCTATCACTTGCTGGACTTCGGATGGGTTCCACAATCTCCGACGCTGTGGTCCCCTCCTGGTCCGGCGTCTTGGGCTTTTCCCGATGAGAATTTTACAGGCATTGATGCTATCGATGACGCACGTTTCCACGAGTTCCTCGGTGAAGTCAGGGCTGCAGCCATTGCGCCCATCTGGGCGAAGGCTGCGCGGCATTACGATGGAGACGGCTCGGAGCATGGTATTGACAGTTACTCATATCGTCGCCTGTTGAGTCAACTTCAGAATGTTCCTCGCATTGGGCGTCGCCTGGCAGCGCTGCTTTTATCAGTCGCCACTGGGGCTACTTGGCCCAAGGCTCGAAATCAGGCAGTGCTGTCCAGTGGCAATCGCCAAGCCACAGGAGACGATGACACGTGTGATCGATGTGGTGAAGAGGGCGAGACATCATTACACCGCTACTGGACATGCCGCTGCAATACGGGGCGTGCCGCTTACGAGCGCAGCGACATCCTGAC